CGATTTTGCTGGCTGTATCCTCCCTTGCTGTGTGCTCCAAATGTGCGCTACGCACCCCCTCAACGTACCCCCTTCACCCAACATCTTCCCCTTGTTCCCCTACCCTGCACGTGCTAGTCCAGCTGAGCACGTGCAGGGGAAGAAGGCAGAGGGAGGACCCCTCCATCCCACCCCCGCCCCTGCCCCGCATGAGCACACGTCAGCTGCCACCCGAGCAGCTCGTGCAATGGCTCGGAGTGTACCGAATGGTTGTCTTATATATGCTGTTATCACAATCAAAACATTGGATTGATACATCTGCACCAATCGGTTTCCGGTTTGTCTAGCGGTCGTTTTCTCCTTCCACTAAATTCGAACCCGTGAAGCATTTTGCGGACGGACAAACATACATACTTACATACATACAGACCGACAAACCGACACACAGAGTTAGTGCTTTATAGAATAGAAGGATTATGAAACTATTGATTCATATTTATTACATTATTCATTTTGAAATTTGTTGGTGTTGTTCCACTTTGTTCATGCATGATTGGTGCACTGTTTCTCCAAGTCGTTTTTCATATTTTGACTAATTTCGTGGTCTTCTCTCAGATTCGCTGAATGCAATGTTATTATAGAAACCCGTTCTATTTTAAGAAAGAATGGGTCATGGCGAGCTAGAAGAGATATGCGATCGGTACCTTAGCCGCAGAGAAGAGCAACAAAAGGTGACAGAAGCTGTGGAAAGGTGCCTACGGAAAGGATACGACTATGATAAAATGAAGGTAGCTTTAAGATTTTTGTGTATGTTTTTGCTTGTGTTGACCTTTTACTTGAGAACTTTTTGAAGCGGTATGTTTCTATTTGTGCGCTAAAATCTTATATTCAGGACCGCGTTCTCGACGCCATAACGGACTCTCATCGGGCACACAAAGTGATTTCAGCCATTTGTACTGCATACCCGCAATTCCGCAAGAGAACTAAGGTCAGTTTTTGTCCCACAACAACTGAGGAACTTCTTTCAGAATATCTCTGTCTGTTAGCATTTTGCTTTTTTTCGTTCTGATAAAATAAGGACCAAGGATTGTCAGCGGTCCGAAGTAGCGATCCTGCTTTCTGGATAACAATATGTTCCTTTATTTACACAGCCATCGATTTCACGCTTGCTTCCATCATAATCCTGCTTTATTTCTGGATGCATTATTAAGATTGAAGTAGATTTGCGACTGGGCTCATAGCGAAAATGATACCACGAGCAGTTTTTCGAAAAGAGAAAAGATTAGAGCGCGTTCATACATTGCGTCAGCGTTTTGAACGTCCACCAGCGTTTTGAGCAACTAAGAACGTATCTGTATCGATTATCGCCGGTGGACTCTCAAAACGCTGGGTTGGTACCTATAGTTTCCTAATCGCTGAAAACGCCAGTATATGCTGGAAATGGTGCCGCAAAGTATGATGACTCTCATGACTCTCAGTGC